TATTATTATTATTATTATTATTATTTATTAATATTAATATATTATTAATATATTATTAAATATATTATTAATAATAATAATATAATAGTAATAATAATAATAATAATTTCCCAACTACATCAGATGCACAGACCTGGCTATCTACTGAAAGGCTGGCAGCGTTCACGATCTCTCTGATGCCAACAGAGTTTTTCCGAAGCCAGCTGTTTTGTTTTGATTTCCCCCCCCTTCTTCAAGGCAGAAAAATAAGGGGAGGGGGGCGAAGGGAGGACGAAATAATAACAATGCAAACTAATGAGGTCAGCCCATTGGTCTTGCAAGCTGATTGGGCCGCGGTTTTGTTCCCGCTGGCCAATTAGAAAACAGCACCATTTAAAAAAAAAACACCCCGCACTGTCTTTCATTACTGGACGCGTTCCCGGTTTTAAAAAGAAGGGGGAGCCCACATAAAACCGTTAAAACAATGGGTCATAAAAAAGAGAAACAAAACGCCACAGTTTAACACCTCGTGACCACATCAAGGTCCGCGAGAGGTCGGAGGCTCGTTTGCATCCCGCAGCTTGTCTCGGAAAAGCGTTTCTGGGCACGGATTGGTTGGGTTCACACCGCACGTAAGACGAGAAAGTGGCTGCGTAGTTCGTCGCTCGCAATGCGCGGAGCAAATGCTGCTCGCGCGCTTCGCTTGCGAATGTCGGGTGTGCAAACCCAGGCCGTCGTGTTCAGCCAGCCAACCACCAGTAAGCGGGTGTGAACACCGGCACCGTTGTAACCATCTTGCTCTCCTCCTGTCTTCTCCCGCAATCTAGGTTAGCACAGGTCAGCCAGCCAAGGTGGGCATTGCCTGATCTTGACTTAGCTTGTGCCAGCCCACTATTTATGTTTGCCAGTGTTTGCTGAAGAGGGGATAGCAAGTTGTGTAAACGTAGCATTGTACAACTTGAAGGGGCCAGTTAAGCCACTGAATTCAGCCCCGGCCTCTGCACGAATCCAAATCAAAGCCCCCATAATAGATAACCTATTTGGTGAAAAGTCCATCGCTTTTCTGCCTCATACACTGCACAAGCCATGAATGATTTTTGTTTCTTGAATAAACTATAATCTATTTGTGAATGTTAAGCCATAAACTATAGCTTGCAAACCAAGGTAGGTAGGTTCACCCAGCATCCAAACTGAACCACATTATGGTTTAAGGTAGCTTATCCACTCATACCAGATTATAGAAGACTCATGATTTTACTTAAAAATCTGATCAGAATTGTACAGGGAAAAGGGTTAGGCTTTGATTCCTACTTTGTCTACACAGTCAGAAGATCTCTGGCTTTGGGGGTTGCGGAAACCTCACATTTTTCTATGTACAGGCAGGTCTCGATTAGTGCTGATAATGAATTCCCACAAAATGATCGCATTTTTCAAATCTGCACTATTCGAAGTGATATTTCTATGGAAAATAGGGTAATTGGTTCCAGCTCAACAGAAGCAGACAATGAAAAACTTTGAACATAATTTTTAATATGTTTATTAACATAACAGTAAAAGATGAAAAGAATATATTTAGAACTTAAATTTATTTTTAACAAAGTCACAGAGTAGTTGCAGAAAGCAAAATAAAAAGAAAATTCTAAATACCATTCCTATCTATCTTCTAGATAGATAGATCTCATAGATACTTAAATAAATCAAGTAGACAAGTTGGAGGGTAAACCCGTATCCAAAGCGTATGTGTGTTCTCCTGTATTTTGCTGTAGTTCTTCAAAATGAGCCTCTTCTTTTTTGAGCTTTCAAACTGAACCTTTCTCTTCTCCATTTTGCGCACATGACGATTAGTGTCTAAAACCTCAACGCAACTGCACGTGTGCTAGCCTCAACTGTGTGTGTGCTAGCCTCGCACTAACTGAATTTTGGCTCGCATTAAATGCGACCTGGTATCAATGTATAATTCGCACTCAATCGAATACCACACCATTCTGGCACTAATCGTGACCTACCTGTACTGTATGTCTTCTCCAGGGCTCTAGTGATCTTCCTGATGAAGGGAAGTCAAGATACAAATTCTGCAAATGAATGATATGCTGATCAGGAACTTCATGGTTGCACATGAATTGAGTTATCAAGAACACTAAGATTAGTGAAAGTGACAACGGCTTTGTGAGTTTGGAGAACGCTTTGGGAGTTTGGAGAATGACATCTGTGAAGCTGCTGTGAAAAGTCTTTCCATACATTTCAGGAAACAGACACTCTGCTTCTGCTGCAGCTGGGCAACATAAGGGTTTGGTTATACACAATGCAAGTCAGGAAGGGTGGGAGCCTATTTAATTTGTGCGCAAATGTTGTGATCTCCTTTGATGTTAACAAAAACAGGCCCAAAAGAGAGAGACTCCAATTCCTGTTAGTGACCCATTTTTTAAAAAAAACAACACACTCTGTTATCCTGATAGCTAGCCCAGCAATAAATGTGCTTTCTGAAGCACACTGAGACCAGGCCAGAACATCTAAAAATGTTGCCTGGTATCTAGTATTAAAAGATTATGAATATGTGGGTCTTTTTGCACCCACAACGTGCAACCAAGCCGCTCTCGCCTTTAATTGCCGTACTAAAACAACCATAACTTTTGAAAATACATAAGGAGTAAACTTTCTCCTAGCAGTGTGGCTTTTCATCAGTCACTCTCGCTACCCAACCTATCTCAAAGAGTTGTTTTTTTGGGGGGGGGGGAATAAAATAAAGTTGTAAAATCCATTTTAAGCTCCCGGAGGAAGGTTTGGATGTAAATCTAACACAGGAAATATTATGTTTAGACATTGTGCTTAACATAAACAACTCTGGCTGGATTCGCATCTTGCATTAAGCCATTATCAAGCCTATTTCTGATATATTGTGCAAACCCGACGAATTACAGTTACATCAGTCTTAAATCAATCTTAACTTAGCACAAGGTTCTATAGCAGTGTTTCTCAACCTTGGCCACTTGAAGATGTGTGGACTTCAACTCCCAGAATTCCCCAGCCAGCAA